CTCAAATAAGACTGCGCCATGTATTCCTCAACGATTGAGTCTGGCTGATCACGTTTGGAAAGCTGGAAGAAGCTGGAAGTCGGACTGATCTTCCATTGTGGACACTCACGACTCCTATGCAGCGTGTTTTGCTCTTCAACTCAGTGAGCGAAAACCTGCTTCCAGCTCTCTGCACCCAAGGCTTGTCATAGCCGCGTCCCATTCTGGTTTGTTGAAGAGCTCGTCGATGTTCCAGATAGCTGCCACGGCCACCACCAAAGCCTTGATATATCTTGATATGTCTTTGAGCTCTTGCCCTTGCCTTTCTTGCCGTTGCCTTTTCCTTTGAAGGCCCTACGATCGGTGGTCTCGAGGAAGATCTCTTCAGTGTTGTTGGAGATGTGCGTGCTCCATAGCTTCAGCCTCAGTGAAAGATCATTTGTGTCTCCCAACTTCATTGAGGCACACCAGGTCTGAAAGCAGATCCTCTTCCTCGACATAGGTCTCCGCGCCCGAAAAGTAGTCATCAAACTCATCGCCATTCTCCCATGGTTCATCATAGCACCCCAGAACGTAGCACCGCGCCATGGTCGAGGTGTATGTTTATGTTCTCCTCCATGTTGGTCATCAAGCTTGTCGCCAAAGACCTTCTGAATCGCTTTCTCGATTTCGATGTAGTCGATGGAACCATTTGTCACCACCTTCGGCCTTTGTCTCTGATCTTGAGTGAAAGACGGTGTCGCCCAGCTGCAGAGGCAAGTAGGTCCAATCCTTGTTTAGTTCAGCAAACGCAGCTTTCTTGCCGGTCAGGAACGATGTGAGCGATGTTCCACGATCCCGTCGGCCTTTGAAGATAGCATCATCGAATGCTTGTTCCAAGCTCTGGTCTTTCAAATGCTGATGGGCCTCCTCAATGATTTTCAATATGACTCTATGGCCATCATCCGCACAAATCTCATCAACCGTCAAATGACCGAGGAGTGCACTGAGTCGACGATGCCTTGCCAATCAATGAACTTGGAATCCGCGCTTCAGCCTCGACCATCCACGGTGCCACAGGCATAGCTTCCTGTGGTACTCTTTGTAATTCTTCTCAGGAAAATCTCCGCCCCAGGCTGGAGTCAACATGTCGTCGAGATGGTCCTGACTTGGGGAGTGCCCCGACGCGAAGCACCACCACTCCTCCATGGATCCTGCTCTTGGAGAGGATCATACTGGTAGTTCTGGCAGTCCAGGATCAGGTACCTCAGGTAGTCCCGAATACTGAACTTATAGGACTCCAGGATCAGGGGCGGCCAACCACTGGCATAGGTGAGGGAGGTGCCGCTTCTGGAGCCGCCGCCGCGCTTGTAATCGGTGGGGTCGGGGTGCTGGTGGTCGAGGATGAAGTTCGGCCAGTCCATGTCCTATGATTTGAGGACGTTGTGTCATGGCATGCACTGCCAGTCAAACTTGTAGGCCAAGAAGAGGTCAGCGTCCAAGATGAACACGTGTAGACCTAGGCCCGCTATGACGGTCAAAGACCAACCAAGCAACAGCAGCCGAAGAGGTGGCGGGCGTTGAAGTCGGCTGAAGAAGGTCAGAGACCAAGCAAAACAAAGAAGAAGCGACGCTGAGGCCGTAGGGCTCGTTTTGAACTCGTAGGTGAAGAAGAAGTCAGCCTTGACGGCCTTGAGGGTGAAGTCCAGCTACCGGGGCGTCCCCCGGCGGATGGCAGAGCCGGGATCGTCACCCCAGCTCCGCTACCACTGAAGAACCGCGGAGAAGCGCGAGGCGAACCTGTATCGCGGAACGAGTGGCTCAAGTGCCCTCCGGATTGGAGGTCGCGGTAACGGCTGTGGGACATGACAGGAGCAGGGCAGGTGCAAGCATAGTTACTTTCTAAAGCGAAAAAACTTGCAATCACTCTCGTGGACTCATTACGTCAGTCTTTTACGAAGGGCCAAGGCGGCAAGGAAGGCCGTTCCAGCTTTCCTCGGCCATTTGTTATCCACCTCGCACCGCAGGCAAGGCGCCGTGTTAGCGCTCGAACTGGGAGGGTGGCTGGGGGGGGGGTGAGTGTGAGCGCTGGTTCCGCGCTCGCGGCTGGATGTGCAGACGGCGTTGCGCCACCGCTGGGGAACATGCTGTCCGTCGTATGCGGCGTCACTCACTCCTTGAGCTCAGCGGCCCTCCCAACCTGGCAGAAGGGAGAATGTGCCACAAAGAACATGCAATGTACCACACTACAGACATGACTGGTTTAAGACAGCGCCAAGGTCACATGTGAATTAAATGCTAGCAAACCAGCGCAACACGGTCCCTTGCCTGTGGTCGAAAAGGCTGGAGACGTAGATTGCGAGGTGTTGTCATCCTGCAAGGAAACGATCGGAAGGTAGCCCCTGCTCAATTTCAAGTCAGCAAATGGCCTCCTGGCATCCAAATAATTATGTTTCATATGTCTGGTACTCATCAACGTCCCACGACTCGGAGGTGGTCACGAATCCTTCTTCTTCTTCTTCCTCCTCCTCTGGCTCTTCCGTTTGGAAGTAGCCAGCATCGTGGTCGAAGTTGAATCATCTTGGTGCGAGGACTTGCTGGGGCTGTCGCTCTCAAGAAAGGGCGGGTCTTCACAGTAGCCGTTTGCTTGCGGAAAAGGATTTTTTTGCGCGATTTCCTTTTTGTGAGTCGGAACCTCGCGTGTCCGCACTTCGTGCTACCATAGCTTTTGCATGGTAGCGGAGCTATGATCCAACCGGGTCATTTCCAACATGCGTGCCACTGCGAATCTTTTTCACCACAACTTTGGCACACAAGCAGCAGCAACAGCATTGCATACAACACCCACTAGAACACACAGCTCCATCGGGTTGAAAAACAATGTCCGGTGAAAAGGCCTGAACGGAGGTAGCTTGCCGCCCCAACATGGCGCAGGCGGCCTGTCATGATACTTTCGCTCTTTTGGTCTATGTTTGCCAGTATGGAAGCCTTCGGGTTGGCTGCAGCAGTAGGGCCCGGCAGGCATCAACCTGCCCACGTGATCCGCATCAAAGTGGACAGAGGTAAAGGGCCACGAAAGCATGACCATCAAAGAAAAGCATCGTCGCAATTTTGTCTTCACACAAATGGCGCGCCACGAAGCAACTGGTAGGTGAGTAGTTGCATGCCTTTCGATCCCCTTTCGATCTTGAGGTCTGTCGGCTCCTTTGGTCTGCAATTTTGGTCCTGGTGCTCAAGTTTCTGCAGGTTTGTCTTCGATCTGTCAACATCTTTCGGAAACTGCTGGCTGTAACGAGCACACAACCGCTCATACAGTTTGTCTTAGATCCGCTCGAATTGATTCCATCGAATTGACCACCTTCTTTCCTGTTGCTGACCCTTCCGCTTGCGGAGAGCCACCAAGACAACCTTGCACTTCATTCCTGTGGGCCACAATGGCAGATGTTGCTGAAGCCCTTGTGGAAATAACGGAGACCCGCAACAATCAGGCACGGAAGGTTGGTTGGATCAACTTGCCCCTCGCTACCGGCGCCGTTGGCCGGTAGGGAGCCTGCGAACACTTTCTCCGGACGCTTGCCGTGGGCCGCGGTCAAGCGGCCCCGTCCCCGGCCTACGAGCAGCTTCACCTTGGGGAGCTTGCTCTCCCTTTCTGCGCGCGACAGCTTGGCTGCCACGTCCCCCTGCAGGGGCGGCACGCCTCCACTGTTGTACATCCCTTTGCCACCAAGAAAGCTAAGGTTGGGCCGCTCTTTGCTCTACATCCTGTTTGTCCACTGCCAATGGCTTTGACTGGGTTGCGCGTTCCTCCAGACTACGCCCTACGCCAACTGAAGTTGATGAAGTGGCGGAGTTGAAGGAGGCGCTCCAAGTTCCCAAGAACTCTGTTCATCGCTGTTCTTTGAGTGCTTCGGAACATCCACTGCTCCTCCGACGCCGCCGCACATAAATGGAGCGTGATCAAAACGGAGAACTATTGCCACGCAGGCGGGTCCTGTGCACGGATTCCCGTGGGGGCTTCGACGCTGGAGCGCAATATTTTTTTGACTAGACAGCTTGTGAAGATAGGCTGGGCAATCGTTCAATCTCCTGATGAGATGAATCATGGGCAGCACTCCAGGCTTTCCATCTACGGGATAGCCTTCAGAGGGTCGACTCTGAATTTCGATGGCTTGCATCATGCATCGGACTACGACCTGGAGGATGCCCTGACAAAAAAAAGAAGGCTGAATGTCGTGCCCATGAACTTTGCCCGCGGACGACCGTGAGCACGATCCTGAAGATCGTGACGTGGCAGCGGTTGTTCAGTCATGTCCAGGTCTGATGATGCACTCGGTATATCTTGGCCCAAATCCTAGAGGGGGCCCTTTTGACCGACGGAAGCCATAGGCTGCTGGAGCGCTTGAAGAAGGCGCTGGTTGGAAAAGGTGCAGGTCACCTTTCCTTACTTCGTGATCGTCTTCTTCGAGCACCTTTATAGTTTGAGCTCCAATACGCTACCACTGCAGCACCCGCTGCAGATTGTCAATGATGTGCGGGTGTGCACATTGAAAAATTCTGTGGAGGTGAGGCCGTTGAGTGTGTGGTGGGACGGTGCGAGGATCACTGTGAGGGCTTGCCCTGAAGCAAGCATAGACAAGGAACGACACGCACAAAATTCAATGCAAACAAAGCTCAGTCAAAACCATGATTTCAGAGCAACACCACCTGAGTTCTTCGCCGGGGCTTCCTGGCTCAAAACCGGGGTCACGCTTTCAACAATCATAGGCAAATCCAATGTTCACCGTGCTAGCTCATAAATGAAGCCGCTGTCCTCACCAGAGGTGCGGCAGAACAGAAAAAGAGTTGGGACCCTGTATGCTCAGCAACTCCGTGGTTTGTCGAAGGGTGTTTTTCAAGAAAGTGATCGGTAAATGAATTGTTCATATCATCAGGTCATGGGGTGTCAAGTGCAAAGCTTTGTTTAACTTTGTTTGATGTGACCCAGCCAGCAACAGTGTACCTAAACGCAGCATGCCAAAAATGCATAGATCACTCGTTGCATCATGAGCTGTGGCTGCCGGCTTGCGAGGATGGCCGTGTTTCTGCATTGTGTTGGAGGTGTTGTTTTTCCCATGCTTGTGAAATAATGAGGATGTACCCCCCAAGTGACCATTGTCAGGACGATGTTCAGATGTTGCAGTGCTGCTTTTCATGCAATCTATTCCATTCTTCGCAACGGATTGTGGGATGATCCTGCTGAAGCGGTGACGGGTGCCGTCTACAAGGAATTCTCCAAGCAAGTGGAGGCAAAAGGCATCCATCCCAATGCAGCAGTGTATTTGACATGGCGCTATTGCTATTTGAAATGCTTTATTCTGATTGGTGTGGTGTGGGCTGTTTCTTCCTGGTCATCCTGGCTACCTGATCGGGCATTCCTCGACAACTTTGTGCGTAATTTGCCGGAAGAGATACAAGCAAATCGCTTTGAGACGTTCATAGTTGTCATGTCCTGGTGGGATCCTGCCCTCATGTTGGTTTGGTTGAGCTCGTTTTTGGTCGTCCTATGCTCAATTTTTTTTGGCTGCTCCTTCCAGAGTGCTGAAATACAAGAACAGTCATTTGTCACGGTATTTGGTTTGGGGAGCGTGGCTTTGGAACTTCGCACTTCCTTTTGCAGCGCTGCTGCTCTTTCCCATCCGATTCACGATTGATTGGGCTGGTGTGCAAGAGGACCTAGCCTCGATTCCATGTTTGGTTTTGGGCAACGTCAATTATGGGCGTGTCTCAGACTCCCCCCAAAATGCTCAAGTTCTCTGACTCTACCCACCAGGCATCACAGAGCTATGGGATGCTAGGTTTTTGGGGATGTTGTTTTCCCGTTCATGCAGATGCAAAATCTTAATAGTGCTAGCTTCGAGGGTTCCGTTGCTTCAGCGTCGGAATGTGGCCTCCTGGAGGACTTGTGTGTTGTGGCCGTGGCGCGAAGCATGAACTCAGCTGGAACGGACTTGAATTCTGCTGTTGAGCAGCTGCAGCAGCAGAAGCTCCTTGCCCACAATGTCCAGAGCTTGCTAGTTTCCCAGGACACTTGATTGGCGTTGTTTTTCTTCAATGTTTTTTTTCAATGTTTTGGTGGTTTTGGAAGGAATATCCGAAACTCGGGCATGTTTTGAGCCGCAACATGTCGACTTATCAGAGAACCCAAAAACTCTGAATGATGGGCAGGAGGAGCAGCGGCAGGTCACTGAAGTTTCAGCCAGGGCATGGTGTCAGGAACAGGGACAAGATTGGTTCCAAGTCTTCTGTCAAGAGGTGCGAATGCTGTCCATTCACCACATTGGAATTCATCAGTTGGCTGGAGTGTGCAAAATGTTTGCCTCATGTTAGTGAAAAACATTGAAAGCAAACTCTCCAACACTCGCAATAGGCCCACATGTGATTCACCCCCCCTCAGATCATGGAATGCGTGGTTACAGTGGACCAACGCTGCCGGGCAGAGGTTTGCCCTTCTGCACCTGATGAGGCTGGGTTTGGCCTTGGCAAGACAGGTTCCATGAAACCGCATTGTCTGACTCTTTTCATTACAGTACTTTGAATGGCATGTGTTGCTTTTGGGGGCTCTAGATGCGGAATGGGTCGAGTCAAATCCTGGCAAGTTCCAAGAACAAACCTGAAGAGTATAGGTCGAGTCAAACCCTGGCAAGTTTCAAGAACGCAAGACACCTGAAGAGTTTTTTGTCAAGCACTTACTTGCTGGCCTGTGATAGACCGATAGATTCATTTGACATTAGCAACTTGGTCATTGAATCCCCTACGCTGAGCATTCGCAAAATGGCCCCTTCCAATGGGCGCATTGTTGTGGCACCCGGTGCACCGCAGCACATCCTGGACATGTGCCGTTCTGCGGCACAAACGTCGAAAACTGCCGCTCTGAGTGGACGATACAAGATGGATAGCCTTCCAAAAAACTTGGTTGCGCCGAAGGCACCGAGACGGCCGCACACCGAGCAAAAGGGACGTCGCCGCCGCCGGCAGGAGCCGAAGGAGCCAAAGGACATTATTCGGTCCACCAGCGCAAGCAGCATTGGGACTCTCTTTTCTGGAGAGCGTGTGGGGGGGCACCTCCCCCGAGGCTCGGCTGTGATCTTCCGGCGTCCTCATCGGTCAAAGGTCCCGCCGCACCAACGACCAATCTTTCTCGTAAAGGAGAATGGGGTTGATCCGAAAGATTGCATGGACATTCACAACCCTAAGCGCTTTTCAAGCATCGAGCGGTCCATGGCTTTGCGTGGCATCCGGCACTTGAACCCTTTGCCTTCTTCGGCCCTGCCTTCGGCCCCAAGCTCCCGTCCCAACTCGGTTGCCAGTTGCTCCAGCCCCATCCCAGACTATCCTGTCATGCCAGCTTTCCGACCTATGAGCCAGTGCACATGAATGTGCACCGTAGGCCCCGCAATCTTGTTTCACCCAGCCCACCTCTCCAAACTGGCAGAGCTTGGCGGATCAGCATTTGCAACATTTTGTGCCGATTGGACGAGCTGGTGCTGGTCACAATGCCGTAGAGCATTTGTGCCGGAATTGAATAATTTCCACGGGCATCATGCTTCTAAGCATGTTGATCTTGAATGATGTTGTGCAAGGTCTGCGGGTTCCTCAAAGAGGGGTCTCAAAGAACCTGCCATGTGCGTGCACCTCGCAGAAACTTGCGAGAAACACTTCTGCGGATTTGTTTGCAGCAGAAAATCGTACGATGTCGCCTTTGAGAGTGAAGCATGTCCACCTTCCAATTGAGCCAGACAGCTTCTTGAAGTAAACCTTCTTGAACCAGCTGATGCCCAGGAGTTGAGAGATTGCCTGGGACAGTGCTTGGAGTACGCTCAGCGTGGCAGTGTCGGCCAGCAGTTCATGGAGTCCCTTTCGCAGTGCCACTCAGTTGAGCGATTGGCTGTGGGGGATGGGTGAGGAGTCGGTGAGGAGAGGAAATAGCTTGTGCTATATATATATATATACCCACCAATCATTCATCCAAAGCCTCTGAGGTGGAAGTTTGCCATCACACTTGAAGGCACCGCGTGGAAATTTTTCCAATGCCTTGCAGAACATCTCCCAATGCGGTGGAAGCATTGATCTGGAGGCCCAACAAGTTGAAGTGCTTTCGTAATCCTTCCCGCTTTGTGCCATTCATTTCTAGGTGCTGCAGCTGATGCAGCTACAGCAGGAATTGAACTACAAGGACCAAGACTGCAATATGGATCAAATGTCCCAAAAAAACATCTCAAAAGGGTGCTACCGCACTTACTGCCTCACTTAAATGCTAGTATATCCTTTCCAGTCTCCAGACAGTTGCTTGTTCTTTTTTTCTGATGTTCCTTGTGCTTCCAGACCTCTCAAGATTTCGTTCGCACTTTCACCTCCACAATTCATGCAAAGACGTGTCTGAATGGGGGCGCAGTAGCTGGCGCCCAAGGGAACGTGGCATGTTGCTCAGGACCAATGTACGTACTCATCCCTGGCGGTTGACCGGGTTGGCATCTCGGAACGGGGCCAGAGTTTGCAGGGTTTGCGTTTGAAATGCCATGTCATCTTCCAGGTCGAGTTTGTGGCTGGTGCCTTTGTGGGAATTAATGCAGGCATGCTGCTGTTGCCAAGTGCCCTTTCAATTTTGGGTGGTCTGGCGGAGTCCATCTTCAACCTCAAGGTGCGGCCACACTGGGTTTGGTGCAGCTGTTTCTTGATCAAAGTAGACATGCTTGTGACAAGACTGCGAACCTTGCCAGTTTTTGCATAGCAACCGAATGTGCTTTTGGACTTCTGGAAGTGCAGGTGCTACTTCCTGGACATCAAGAATTTCCGTTTTTGCTGCTTCTCACTTCCTTTGAGGCGCTACCAATCTATGCAGCCTTGCTGGCGGCAGCGTGGCTAGAAGTTTTGTTGCTTCCGGCTTCCGGCATTTTGCCGAGAACGTAAGGAGGAACAAAGGCAAAGCAGAGGCAGGACCAGCTTGTAGGCTTGGGAGATGCTTGTTCGTCTAGTGCTAGGCGTCCCCAACTGCCTGTTGCCGCCCCAACTCCCTACAAGCTATTGGCACTGAGGTTGTGCAGCAGAGCTTGGGAGACAGTGTCCTTTTCGCAACGAGCCTGAACTTAGAAATGCCATGGAACATGCTTTCTGCTTTGTACTTTACATGCATCAAGTGTCACAAGGGCGGGTCAATTCCAAGCCATTTCGTACAAAATGACTCAGGTTGCTTGCTTGGCTTTCATTTGCTATGTGGGGCTTCCAGCTCTTACTGGGTGCCTTACACGCCACCTGCGTCCTGGACCTGAGCACCGGTGGCTCTTCTACCGAAGGGTGCGCCAATGCTGCCGGGGGGTTCGTCCCATTTTGCTCACAAATTGCAAAATGTGTGCCACCTCCTGGCTAATGGGTTCTTGCAGCACTAGACCACCTCCAGACTGGCCCGCAAATAATGCCTCAGGGATTTGTGATTGTCGTCTGTTCCAGATGAGCGCAGTCTTTGTTTGAGGCTGAACCTTGGAGGAAATGCTTGTCCCCCTTGGGCCAGCAATTGGTTTGAAACAGTTTTAAACATAGCACGATACAACCTCTCCCTCTCTATATATACGCACCTCGTGTATGTCGGGAATAGTGAGAGGCAGTCATCAAAAGTCGCTGCCAGGTCTGGCTTGAGTATAGTTTGCGTGCTGCCTTGGTCTTGGTGATGTTCATCTCCTTTGGTAATTATCTGAGGCACGCTGTCCTTTGGGAGCCAGTAAGAGTTGCCTTCCACGCAATGCTCAAATTTGCTTGAGTCCAAAAATGTTAAAAGTTGAAAGGCTCGCATTGCCAGGAATTTGGTCGGCGAGCGGTTTGTACAGGACCACCCGGTGAGATTGTTGCAGCTGGGCGGCACTACCAACTGTCGAACGTTAGGCTGCCCTTAGTTGAATCTTCTTTTCGAGATTCCAGCACTCAGACGTCAGATCCTTCCAAACTTTTGGCCTGCTGCGATGCTTTCAGTCAACTTTCATCGTTGAGGTTGCTTACAACTTTAAGCTACTTCACACGCAAAAGCTTGACCGCAGTGGCCTCCACAGACGCTGCTGTGAGTGCCTTCCTCCAGTGCGAGCATTGGCGGAGGTCCTTTGCAGCCGAGGATCGGAAGGCCAACGAGGCAAGGACTTAAGAAATGGTTGGAAGAGAGAAAGGATTGAAACAGCATGAAACAGCTGAAACAGCTCTGAAAACTGACCATGCCTCCGGGTTGACTGGACCAATCATTGTGATGATGCACTCATGCTACTGCTACAGGTGCTTTGAGGCTCCAAGACAGCATCTAAAGGTCCTAGACAGCATTGTGTATGACGATGACCCAGAAAGTATCAAAATCTCATTTGGCAAAAGTTTTTTCTCGAGTTGGCGAAAGTATTGTTTTTTTGGCGAAAGATCTGGCGAAAGATTAAATATGTACTTTTTTATGAATGTTCATTTGCTTCCTGAACAGCTGGTGGCAGTGACTCAGAAGTTAGATGAGCTGTGGAAGTTAGATAACCTGCTGCTGCTACTACTACTGCTACTCCTACTGCTACTACTACTACTACTACTACGACCACGACTACCACTACCACTACCACTACCACTACTACTACTACCACTACTACTTCTACTACTTCCATTACTACTACTTCTGTTACTACTACTTCCATTACTTCTACTTCTACTACTACTACTACTACTCCTACTGCTCCTGCTCCTGCTCCTGCTCCTTCTTTGGGGGGGGTGGCTTTGCCACAAAACTCTACCCCGCAAAAGGCGAAAGTTTGGCGAAAATTCAGCTCAAGATTGGCGAAAGTTCACCCTGCCACATCTGACCCCCAGCCCATTATGAGTAAGTTTGAGTGACCGGCTGCTACAGTGATTCTTCCATTTTTTATTCTTGCTGACACCCAGGAGAAACAAAAGAGATGTACAGGGTGTCAACAGTTTAAGTAGAAGACACGTGCTGACAAACAGTGAAGTTTCTATTTTGTGTTTGCCAGCAAAGAAGAAGCCATTGACGTGAACAAAGCACAACAGACATGGCACACATAAATACAACATACTTCGGCGAAAGATCAAACGCAGGAAGGCGAAAGTTTGGCTAAAGTAATTGTTTTTTGGCGTTAAATGACGGATCCCAGATAAAGGAATTTAGATCAACTCCCACATGTGCAAAGGCTGCCAGACCCTGAAAAGTGTAGAGGGTCATGGCTAGGAGTCAAGCGTAGAGCTGTGTCCCTTTGTAGTCCTTTGTGCGCACTTCGTGCACGCTTCGCAACTTCACGGATGAACACATGCCGTGGAAGGCACCAGCTGCAGCTACATTGTTGTTTGTTGCGAGTTTGGCTTTCTGTTGAGGGCACGGGCCATGGACAAGACAGGTGTGCTAGACTCTTCAGGTCTGCAGAAGGCTTGCCATGGCATCTCGCTCTCACCATGTCGTGAAGGTGCACTCATCCGGAAGGATGCAAACCTGCTAGTGTCAGGTTGAAGAAAGGTTGGAGGACGCCTATACTGATTCCATCGAGCGATCAATCACTGGCAGTGCTTGGTTCTTTGAATGCGCCCAGCACACCAAGTGCACCGAATGCACCGAGTCTGAATACACTGAATGTATATACCAAGTGCTTCCAGTCAGTGATCGCCCATGTAAACAACGCACTGTGAGTCGTGTTATGGACTGTTTGAGATCACTCTGTGGTATGGGTGGCTTGAGTTTGCGAGCAGGGTTGGGGAGCTTGATTACACAGAACAGGCTTGCCGGCCTCGCGGCCAGGAGAGCTCCAAGATGTCCAAAGATTTTGGTTCCACTGATCGATGGCACCGCGACTGCCACGATACACTTTATACTTCTATATAATATATATATATAGTCATTGTATAGCCTTCTGACTCGCGACAAACGGCCCATTCTTTGAGCTCCATTTGAGCTCAGTGTGGGCACTCTAAACCCTCAAAGCCTGCCTCTGAGGTCCATGCTTGCAAACTATTGTTTGAGCTTGGTGTTGGGCAAAGACTTTCAAGTCTGAGAGTTTGGCGTGCCCGGTTCTTGTCCCTTTTGTAAGCCAGCACGAAAGGTTTCTTGGGAGTGTGAGACCATTGTGCGCGGTCCAGTGTGCAGGTATTTCTCACGTGTAAGACTTGGACTCACAACCAAAAGCGAAGGCCAGCAGAGAGGGGTGGCCGTGGAGATTGCCCACAATAGCTGGCTTGAAAACAAACGTTTGACAGCTAGGGTCGGCATCAATGTTTAGATGTTTGATGCCGACCCCCTTCACCTTGGAGTGGCACTCCGGCACCACAGGCAGTGAATATATGTGAATATACCGTAAGATCACTTCGAAGGTATCCCGTCCGCAAAATCTGGACAATTTCCTTCAACAAGTTTCGGAGCATGTATGTGTATGTATATGATGTATGTGTACGTGCACGTGCATGTTTGCATATGTGTGTTTATCTATATTTGTGACTCTTGCTGTAGCAAGTCATTGGGTGGGGATGGGGTGACCTACCCAGTGAATAATGCATGTGTAGACCCCACCCCGGCCAGGTTCAACTCCCCCCTCCGCTCGAGGCCTTGGAGAGGACAATCTACTAGGTCACTTGACTGTTGCCTTCGTCGTCGTCTTGGTCGCCGCGTCGTCTTCGTCGTCGAGTTCCTTGTCCTTGTCCTGCCTGCGTTTCGCTTGTGTTTCTGCGCGCGTGTCGTCTGTGTTTTTTGCCTGTGTTTGGCATCGTTTGGCGTCATCTTTCCATCGACACGTAGCATGCCCGATTGCCTGCTTATTCCACAGATTTTTTTCCTCCACCTGGCTTCCGTACACCGAACCACGATTTACACCATGGTTTACACCACGCACCCTTTACCACGACCCCCGGTTTACGCCAAGCAGCGGTTCTCCAAACCACGGTTTGCACCAAACCACGATTTACACCACACACTGTGGGGTTCAACGCCCCTTACTTGGCTTCAGGTTTTTGTATATATAGACTTCCAGACCTTGCTAGCTTTCGTCACCAACCCCCGCCTCAAGTGGCTACCCCTGTGTCAATCGCAATGTAGTCTGCATGCACGCATGTATGCATGTATGGATGTTTTTTTCTCCTAAAGGACCTTTTCTGGGTGAACGGGTTGGCTCTTTGGCCCTCGCGGCCATGCCAGCAGCCATGCAAAGTGGTTCTTCCAAAGGGTCTTTGCAGTCTTTCTGTCCATGGGATTGGCAGGGCTTCATGGCCTTGTTTGTGATGCCATTTGCATAGCCAGATGATGTGCTTTGGCGTGGCAGGGACTTGACATAAGGGGCACGTCTTGGGTTTGTCCCCTTGTTTGTAGTGGATGGCTGCTTGGTTCCAGGTCTTGGTGTGGTTGGCCTGGACTGCTGTCAACTTCCGCTGGGCTTGCCGGGAGACTTCCCAATCGAGGCCACTCACTAGGCTCTGGCAGTTCTTCTTGGCTGCGAACCGGCTGGTTCTTTGTTGTGCTGCCTCACGGAACAGAGTGGCCTCGATGACCCACCAATCATCCATGAGATTGATGTGGGCCTCAGTCATGAAAGCTGTCTCGTACCTGGTCCATCGAGCTAGGCTGTCAGTGGTCCAACCCCCAATGCATGAGGTATGCCAGTGGAGCTGCCATAGGTCCCTTGACATGGTACCACGGGTGCTGGTGTTTGCTAAGGTTGTTGCGAAGCTGGATCCATGCCTTTTCAATGTGTGGCCTGTGTTCTGGAGGCCATGTTGTCACCAGCTTGTGTAGGGCATGGATGTGCTGGATGACCACTTGGTCTCCTGGGTCCATGTACCTTTGCTGGCTTGGTCGTAGACTTGTGTCAGGCCTTGCCGGTACCGTGGGGCTAAGCCTTGTCCCTCAAAGCCCCGCAAAGCCACTGGTTGGACTCCTCCCCGGTGCAACCGTAGCCGGGTTCGCAGGTTGGGGAGCTTGAGGGAGCGGAGCCTGATTCGTCGCTGCCGGTTGTTGTGGAACCTTTGCTTGAGGGTGGCGATGCGTCTTCTTCTCTCTGCAGAGTGGTCGATTCCTAGATCTCTCATGACCGTCTGGATTGGAGGGTCGTCGGGTTCGAGGAGCTTGGCCAATGCCTTGTGTGTGGTTTTGTCTGTGATTCAAGTGCGCGTGGGTCTCGATGCTGTTGCCAGTGCTGGCTGGTGTCCAGAAATTGGGGTCAGGTGGGATCACCGGTCCAGTGCTGCTGGACATTTTGCAGTGCTTTGGCCAAACCACGGTTGGGGTTGGTGCTGGATGATGTTGAGACGTGCCTGTAACTGTTCCCAGTATGCTGGTTTGCCCTTTTTCCACATAGCTCCAGCTTTGGCAGGGACTAAGGGTTGTGCTGCCAGGTTGTATGCTCTGCCCTGAGGTGCCCACGGATGTTGTTGGAGCAGGTATTGTTCTGTGATTGACACCCAGTCAGCCAGGCCTCTGGCTGCTCCATTGGGTGCTGCTTCATAAAGCTGGATGTCGTCCACCTGAGAGACGTAGGCGCTCCAAGCTCTGAACCCAATGTCGGGTATGTTGGGCAAGGGTGGAAAGCTGCGGAGCTGCTCATGAATATCAGAAGTCGGCATCCAGTTCCAGGGCATAGGTGACGAGGCAATGTGGACCGCCCAGTCGGCGGTCATGGATGCATGTGCGGCTAGGTTCTGGTGCATGATGGCATAGTCAACGGTGTTGCCATTTAGCAGCGTGGCGTCAGGTGCTAGGGTCTACCAGCGGAACTTGGAGCTCAAGACCGTGCTTTGAAACTGGTCTGGATGGTTGTTCCAGTCGCCCACCATCATGAATGGCTGTTCGAGGCCTGCAGCAGTGCCAGGATCCGTGCCAGCAGTTTGGAATTGGTGTGGCCCTGGAGAGTCTCATTGGTCTTGAAGTAGACAGCAATCACAAGAATGGATCGTCCTGTGGCCTCTCAGAGAAAAGCCTGGTATCCACAGCCTTCAATGGCATAGTGTTCCACTTGAGAGATGCTGTGTGCTGTGTCATGGAGGATCAGGATTCCTCCATGTGTGCCTTCATTGGTGGCATTGCTATGGGCCGGGTATCCAAAGGCATGTCTTCCTCGCGCTTCGAAGTACTGACGCATGGAGTGGTGCCTCTGGCTGTCGAGATGTGTTTCCACGAAGACATAGAGC